AGAAACTCACAACACAATCCGGGGAAAATTTTTAAATAAATTCATATATTTTAAATTTATTAAATTAAAAAAAATTTAATTGACTAAGAGGGTTGACGAATGAAAATATAGAGGGGGAATAGTTAAGAAGAGACTGATGTCTACAGAAAGATCGTACATAGAGGAGAGGAGAAGAGGAGAGAAGAATCGCGCGCGATTTTGCCTTCCTTCATTTGAATGTTATTTTCTGTCGCAAGACGCAAGCCGTATTTTGTGAAGGGAAGGGATGGAGCGCGAGGGCGAGGGCGAGGGACGTGAAGACAAAAATTTATATATTGATTTTAGTAGTTTAAACTTTAATTTAGTTGCTTAAAATTTAAAAATTATAAAAAAACTTTTAAATATAAAACTTTATCTGACACCGCCTAAACAGAGGATTACACTAATTGAAGCCCACATCTTGTATAAACCCACCTGTAATGTAAGCCCATCTGAGGAGACCCATTGAAAAATATAAGCCCAGGGCTTCAATTAGAGTATTTACGGTATATTAGGAGAGAAAAACAAGAGCACAGTCGTTGCTCAATAAACTTATAATTAGTCGGTAGATCTTTTTCAAAGGTCTACCCAAAATCTAAAAAGGGTTATCAGCAATATTAGACTAAACTTTTGATATTAGGCAGATATCTTAAATAGGGTTAAAGATAGCTTAGGCCCGGATTTACATGCAACTGTATGATAGGTTCAAAAAACGTGTTTTTAGCTTGGACCTAAAAGTCTAGAGAGAGACTTTTTGCGCATATTTTTACATATTTTGTCGTTTTTTTCACAGAATTATGCCTAAAAGTTAATCAAACCCGGCATGGATCCGCGAGTGGATCAAGAGAGACCATTTCCAAGAAACATTAGTCAGATCTCTTAAGTAAGGTTAAAAAGAATTTTTAATGATCGTTTAAACAAAATAAAACATTTTTATCTCAAAATTAAATCGCATTTAAATATAATCCATCCAAAAATTGGACGTTTCTTGTTTATCTCGAATAAAATGTTAAAAATACACAGAGTTGCCGCCATAAAATAAAATTTTCTAAAATTTTCTTTTTACGAAAATTAAATTCTTAATAAGACAAAAATATATTTTACTAACTTAATTGACATAAACAATTATAATTTACAATCCAATTATCATCAAAATCAGAGATGGACGTTTTTCGTTTCGTTTCGTTTTCGTAGATTTTCGTGGATTTTTGATGATTTTTGTTTTGTTTCGTGTTTCGTTTGAAAATATTTTTTTTCGTTTCTTTCGTTTCGTATTTCGTTAAAAAAATATTTTCGTTTCGTTTTCGTTTCGTAAACTCAATTTTTAGACGAAAATGACGAAAATAATATTCGATAGTTTTAGGCAATTTTTTTTCTATTTTGTTGTATTTTTAAGCCAAAAATTGTAAATTTTTCTCCCGGGAACTGAAAATTCAAAAAAATTTTGCCTGCGGCGCTAATATGGAAGAAATCTGGCTTCTTGGCTTCCAAATTTCTCAAAATTTTCGCCTGCGGCGCTAAAAACGGTTCCTTGTATCTTCAGTTGAATTTGCCTAAGTCATTTTTACTGGTTTATTGAAGTGATCTGGATCAAGAGTGAGGATATCAGGCGATATAGAAAAATATCGGGGATCTGGGTTACAGATCAGGAATGGGTGGAACGGAATTCCGACCCACCTCTGCATCCGATCGACTCTGCTCACCACGCCTTACCACCTCAATTAAATGGGCATTTTTGGAAGTAAATTTGGGGAAATAGAGAAATTAAATGGATAGAGAATGAGGGGGGATATAAGGATTCAAAGAGCATTAGAAGATTTTTGTGGATTAATACGGGTATCCGTGAAAATAAAGAGCCCCTAAATATCTCACCTAATAATATCCACACACTTCCTCTTAATTACTCCAAATCACCCTATATATTTCTTACATGCTAGTCGGGAATATAAGGGAATATGATGGATTAAGTGGATATCAAAGTATTTGAAGGGATATCAGAGGATTTGGAGGCTAATATTTGAATTCAATCAAATATTTGATGCATTTAGACATGTACAACCTCGAAAAACTTCTTAGCTAGCATTAAAATCTAAAGATTCATAATTTAGATTTTTTCGTTTCGTTTCGTTTTGTTTCGTGAAAATTGAAATTTTTTTCGTTTCTTTCGTTTCGCAAAAATAAATATTATTTTTTCGTTTCGTTTTCGTTTCGTACAATGACGAATTTATTTTTTTTCGTTTTCGTTTCATTGAGTGAAAAATTTTATTTTCGTCCATCTCTGCTCAAAATTGTTTTTAATGAAAGTCGGCAACTCTGCTTTTTAAATAAATGTTCTTAAATAAACTTTAAAAAATCCCCAAATTTAAATAAACCCCCAAAATAAATCCCCAAAAAATTTAAATAAATATCAAAAAATCCCAACAGTTTCTTAATTCCCCAAATTCTTCCTTTATATGTACAGAATGTTTAGACCTCCCTTCCTCACTTGCTGAAGCTGGCACAGACTAGTTAAAAATAAACTTTTCTTTATTAATGTCTCTCATTGAACATGACAGAGATATTTAGAGTAAAATTGAGAAGGGAAAAAGTCTGACCATTCTGTACATATAAAGGAAAGAATTGGTGAAGAAAAAAGGGGAACCCTAAACCTTGGTTTACCCCGGCTCAGTAAAACATTTTAAAAATCCCAATTTAAATAATACCCAATCCGATTTAAAAAATCACCAAAAAACCCTTTAATCCCAACAATCACTTCATCATCAGAGCCATCCATTTTTTAAAAAATCCCCATCCATTTAAAAAAAACCCCCCAAAAAATCCAAAATTAAAAATAAATAAATCCCCATACAATTTTAAAAAAAACCCCTAAAAATCCACAAAAAAATCCCCAAAAATCCCAACAATCTCTTCTTCATCACCCAATCATTCCCCAATATATTCTTCAATCTTTCTAATAAAAATGCTTTTTATCCATGGATTGTTGTTGTCGTAGAAATCATCAAGTATTTTAGTTCTCAGTTTGTTTACAGCTTCTTGATAAATATTTTGATAAATATTTCTAAAATAAATATTTAAATAATTCAAATAATCATTCAGTATTACCTTTCCCCAATTATATTTTCAAGAGCATTTTCAATTTGTTCATTAAAATTCTGGTTCGGTAATACAAAGAATCCAATACCTAGGTGTTCAACAAGGGAGGAAAGGTAAAACTGATCACCCCCATCTGGAATACAGATCAATGGAACACCGGCATAGATTGACTAAAATATTAATTTAAGAATTAAATAATGGTTTAATGTTTGTAAATACGGTTGTCGGTTCCAGGAAATTCGTTGGATATCCGAAACTGAATCAACCGAAAAATCCTCAGTTATTCGGTTAGGGATATTGAGATTTTTACAGTATACATTTAAACTCCACAAATTTATACACAATTTCAACATCGATATTCAAATATTAATAAAAGTATCTAAGCTCTAGTTTTCGACCAGGCTCTAGTTTTTATTTGTTTTGAAACTACATAAAAGGTGGGGAAAAGTCGCATAAAAAGCATCCATATATAATAATCGTTTGTTTGAAATGAGATATTTATTAAATTGAGTTTTGATAGTATTAAATTAAGTTACCTCAGTCAAACTATTTATTCCACAATGGGAAATAAATAATTTTGTATTTTCTTTAGCTGAAACATAAAATAAATTGAGATTAATTAAAAAATCATTTAATTACCCAATATTTTTTGTTGATTAACAAATCCTTTAAAAGAGATATTTGTCTTGCGATAATGTTTTTTTAAATGATGATCTTTTCCCAATGTGACTTTAAATAAGCAATGCTTATAATTTGTAAAAATGTCAAGCATTATTTTAAGATTATTATCATCCATCCCTTCAATGTTTATTGTACCAAAGGAGACATAGACAACACAATTAGGCTTTAAAAATTATATATTATTTATACCGTAAATGCTCGAATAATTACCCTCTCTCAAATATGAGAGACTACATAGTATAAAAAAGTATCATTTAATTATACATCCTTTTCTGAGCCAAAACCTTGGATAAATAAAAATGAAGGGACATTCCTTTCTTCCTTGCCTTAAAAGACAACAATTTCTGTTCAGAAGCTACAATGAGGGCTACTAATAGCCCTCATCAGAAGCTACAATGAGGGCTATTTAAAATAAATTTTACTTCTTTCAGTGAAGGCTTTGTTTTTTCTAATTGAGTTAAAATTCGTTTATTCTCCTCAACAACAATACCACCAATATAAATAATTTTTTCATGTTCAGGAAATTGTTCAAAATTTACAAATTTGTGTTGATTCACAAAATGATAATTAATTTTTTGAAATAATTCAACCAAGTTTGGCATTTGGTCTTCTTCAATAATCTCTTCATATATCAAATCTCTATAATTTGAATTAGAAATTTGTGTTAATTCTGTTAAAACTCGTTGATTTATAGCTTCATAATTTGTAGAATGACCACCATGGGTCCACGCTTCTGGCACAGTATATTGATATTCTTTAAATATTTTTATTATACATATGTAGTAAATTATAACAAATTTACTAAATCACATGTCGAAAATTTTGGTAATATTGAATACCGATTTTTTCCTCACCAAGTTTTTTGATATAAATCTGAAGAATGGGGGGCTGCCAGATTCAATATTACCAAAAATTTAATGTACTGTGGGAGTGTCGTATAAATGAGGTACTTATATAGGAGAAAAAAATTTATTCTTATCTGCCAGTATGTCTGAATCGAAGGCCTTATGTGAAGGATTAAAAGCATAATGAAACAACTTTGCCTAATCAAGCATGATTTGATATTTAGGGGTGTAGAAAATGAATTAAACACTATTTAGAATCATTTTTTAACCAATCTCGTTCGGCGCTAGTTAATACAACAGAGAAACATGAGTTAATTTTAGCTTTGACTCTATGTGAATAGTTAAAGAAACCCGATAAAAATCTTAAAAAATAATATTAGTATAACCGGGAAATGCAAGTCGAGTAAAATCAATCGGATTTTCATAAAATTCAAGAAATTGGAGATTTCCTGGATAGAACACTGAAGCAGAAACATTAAAAGTATTTTGAATCCCTAAAACTTCAAAAATTGCAAAAGATCCGGCCATCACACTAAACTCAGCAATTCCAGCAGAATAGTTTTGCTGTTTAAGCCAGTTTAAAAGTTGCCCATTCGTGATTATTTCTTTAATAATAAAATAATTTTATTTAAATATTTTATTATCAAGGAAAATCTTTTATCTATAAGACAGAAACTGAAGCAGAAACCTTAAAATTTTTAGAAATTCCAATCAATCAAAACCGAAACATACGGCAAAGCTACATATATTCATTCAAAACTAATACGTCTACCGATCATTAATCAGTACAAGTATTTGGAGGCCAGCTTTACTTTTAAATATTACAATATTAAATTAGTATTACCATAATAAATTCCCACATTCCAATATTTAAATCCTCTTTTATAATCCTGATATGCAATTTCTCGTCCACTATTTCTAATAATACTTTGAATCAAATTTTTTTCATCTATTGGTACTTCTATAACTTCAAAACGATGCGGTGGTACTTCCTTTCCATTTTCTTTTTTATAAAGAAGCATATGCTGAAATAATAAATTAGGTATATACCAGGGATGTCACGGGTTACCCGAAACCCGATACCCGAAACCCGGCCTTTTTTTCGACCCGATACCCGAAACCCGATCCGAGAAATTTTCTAAAACCCGACCCGAAACCCGACCCGAGAATTTTTATTTTTCAAAACCCGACCCGAAACCCGACCCGAGTTTTTTCAAAATTTTCGCCCGCGTCGCAGAAAAAGGGAAGATTTTTAGCTTAATGATCCTCCAAAATTCTGAAAATTTTCGCCTGCGGCGCTGAAAAAGGGAAGATTTTTTAGCTTAATGACCTCCAAAATTTTGAAAATTTTCGCCTGCGGCGCTGAAAAAGGGACTTTTTTTCGACCCGAAACCCGATCCGAAGAAAATTTTGAAAACCCGATCCGAAACCCGACCCGACTTTTTGCTCAACCCGAAACCCGAAACCCGATCCGAGAAAAATTTTGGAAACCCGACCCGAAACCCGACCCGACATTTTTCTCAACCCGTGACATCCCTGGTATATACCTTAATATTGCATATGTTCTAGATAAGATTCCTTTTTTTACGTTTGGTGACCAAAATTCCAAAAAGATTGGTGACAAAAGTTGCGAAAAATCTTAGTGACCAAAATTCCAGTGTCCAAAAACCAATCGACTTACGGATTATAGGCTCTAAATAATTCCAGAACTTCTAGGCCCCTTCCCGATTCCCCGTCCGATCTCGTAATCACTTACCACAATGTATTTGTCGGATAAAATGTTAGCCAACAATGCCTGAAAATATTTAAATAAATAAAAGTTTTGGTTCATTCTTTTAAAACTGTAATGGGGCAGTTATTTATGTACAAATATAATTTACATTTAATTCCAAGTGAGAGTAGAAATAATTGTCGCAAATATATAAAATTTTCTTTTTTCCTTCTTCATGAGCACCTCCTGAACTTTCTCCAAAATAGCTTCCAGTATAACCTCCTCCAAATTCTGACACATTGGATGTTACACCTTGACTCGGTTCTCCATATCCTCCGCCTCCTCCTTGAAATATTTCACCAAATCCTCCCTGATTGCCTTCTACATGACTTTGCCCTCCAGTTTCCTCTGATTCAGAACCCTCACTTCCACTTCCAGAGCTCAAAGTTCCTCCATGACCGCCAGTACCTTCTCCCTTACAACAGTTACCTCTTTTAAATCGACGTTTGTACAAACTTTTTCCCCTAGTTTTTGGACATTTACAATTTCTCTCAATGGAAATGTGGACAAAAATTAATAAAAATAAAATCCAAAAAATTAATTTTAAATACATTTTTGTCTAAAAATTTCTTATTTTAATAAAAATAAATTAAAATTCATTTTTAAATTATTATAATAAAAAAATCAAAATTAAATAAAAATATTCGTTAAATTATTTAAAATGACTAGACAATTTAAAATCTATAATGAATGATCAGCTACTATTTTAAAATGCATCTCTACATGCACGGATATTTAAAAATGTGGCAAGCATCGGCGTAAAGATTTTTATTCAAAAAATTGATTAAAATTATCAAAAATCTATATTTTATAGATAGGGCCCGAATATAAGGCTATTGCTGAAAAAAAGTGGCGAAAAAAACATATAAGGCTACAACTATTTATAAAAGGCTACAACTATTTATAGTCATAGAACAGAGATACCTAAAATACCGTATATGTTATAATAATTATGAGGGTAATTATTGCTTCACTCTCTGACTGGAGGGGGTAATTAATAGGGCGGGTGATTATTTAAGAGAGAGTCTTGGGATATTCCGTCCACACAACTTTGTTAACTTTGTTAACTTTGAAAATATAAAATTTTAAATACAAACTCAGTATCTACATCACTTAAAAATTGTGTTAAATTATTTATTAGAGCCCGGCTCGATACGATATTTTTTCGATATTTATCGAAATAATACCGACCAACCCCTCCGACCTGGCTTTAATGAGAGCCTCCGGCCGGGAGGAGAGCTTTTTAGAGCCTCCGTCGGCTCTAATGTACTATTTATCAAAGAAAAAAGAGAGCGAAACTTTTATCTTTGAAAAAAAATATGCTGAGCTTTTAGTGCATCTTCAATGGTCTAAGCAATAAAAGACATTGCCAGGAACATTTAATTAAACTTTTTGATATTAGGCAAATAATTTTACAAGTTCAAACAAAAAATTAATTTAACTAATAACCGTTAACAAAAAACTTTTTTATCCAAAATTAAATACTTTAAATAAATCCCACAAAATAAATCCCAAATATCCATCAAAAATTGGACGTTTTTGTTTAAATCGAATTATCTTAAAAATACGCAGAGTTGCCGTCATATTTGAATTTTTTTTAATTTTTTTTCACGAAAATTAAGGTCCTAATTAGAAAATTTATTTTAGAACTATAATAATAATAAATAATAATTATATCATTTACTATCATTTAATCCTCAAAATAGTTATTGAATGTAAGACGGCAACTTTGTTATCTAAATAAATGTTTAAATAAAATTTTTAAAAATTCCCAATTTAAATAAATCCCACAAAATAAATCCTCAGTTAAATTTAAAAAATCTTTTAAAACACAATAATTGCCAACAATCTTCTTCATCATCAGAGCCATCCATTTTTAAAAAAAAACCCCCAAAAATCCAAGATTAAAAATAACTAAATCCCCATCAAATTTAAAAAAACACCCAAAAATCCAAAATTAAATCCCAAAATCCCCAAAAAATCCCAAAAATTAAAAAATCCCAAAAACCAAAAAAAAAACCCAAAAAACACCCCAAAAAACCCCAAAAAATCCCAACAATCTTCATTATCAGAGCCATCCATTTTTTAAAACCCCTATCCAATTTTAAAAAACACCCCAAAAAATCCACAAAATCCCAACAATCTCTTTTTCATCGCCTAATCATTCCCCAATATATTCTTCAATCTTTCAATAAAAATGCTTTTTATCCATGGATTGTCGTTGTCGAAGAAATCATCCAGTACTTTAGTTCTCAATTTGTTTGCAGCTACTTGATAAACATTTTGATTAATACTGCTAAAATGGATATTTTTATTCATTTTAAATATTCAATTTATTACCTTTCCCCAATCATATCTTCAAGAGCATTTACAAGGTGCCCACCAAACTCTTCCAGAGATCCAGCATCATTTCCTAAATTGTCTGCTTTGATATAAACCCCAATATTTAGGTGTTCAACAAGGGAGGAAAGGTAGTGTTGATCACCTCCAATTGGAATACAAATCAAAGGAACACCGGCATAGACTGACTAAAATATTAATTTAATTTATTTAATATTACATATTTAATAATTAATTAATATTACATTTAATTTAATATTACCTCAGTCAAGCCGTTCACTCCACAATGTGAAATAAATAACTTTGTGTTTTGTTTAGCTGAAAAATAAAATAAATAAAAATTTAATTGAGTAAAATTCTTATAATTACCCAATATTTCTTGTTGATTAACAAATCCTCTAAAAGAAATATTTGTTCCACTATATGCACCTTTTAAAGGATGATTTTCACCAAATCTGACTATAAAATTGCATTGTCCAAAATTTGTAAAAGTGCCAAGCATTTTTTCAAGCTTATAATGACCCAAGCCTTCAATGTTTATCATCCCAAAGGAGACATAGACAACACAATTACCCTTAAAAAATTATATATGTCGGCGGTAAATTTCAATTTTAGGAAAATTTCAATTTTTCCGGAAAATTTCAAATTTTCCGGAAAAATTCAATTTTTCCGACGATTTAGGAAAATTTCAGTTCTTAAATTAATTTAATAGTCTGTTTAGCACTATTTCGCTTATTTTTAGTTTTTTGAGTATGTTTTTCTTTTTTGTTTTTCTTTTGTTTTATGTTCTGTTTTTTGCTTTGTTTGACTTTTTTTAAATATTTTTGTTTATTTTTTTATTTTGTTTTTTAGTTCTTGTTTTTTTTAATTTTTGTGTTACTACTGAATGGGTAGGTCGGCATTTCAATGCTGAAAATCGTTAAAAGGAATAGGATTTTGTTACTATTGCAGAACCCAGCGACCAGAGCTGCACGAAAATAAAATTTCGCACTCAACGAAACGAAACGAAAAAAAAATAAATTCGTCAATGTACGAAACGAAAACGAAACGAAAAAATAATTTTTATTTTTGCGAAACGAAAGAAACGAAAAAAAATCTCAATTTTCACGAAACGAAACGAAACGAAACGAAAAAAATCAAAATCATAAAAATACTTAGGTTACCGCTTAATTTTTTTGCCTAATTCACCTTCAATGCCTAATTTACTTTCAAAAATGCCTAATTTATCGCCTAATTCACTTCAGCCTATATTGCTTCCAGAAATGCTTATTTTATTGATGTGTTATCCTTCTAGATCCATTGATAATCGTTTAAATATGAGGATTTAATGCAATATCTGATAATACCGAAATCCCCAGAATACTGCTATTTATCATCAATGAACCTCCTAAACTCACCCAATCCTTCTATATCAGTGGTGTCCGCAAATGAAAAAAATATCTTGGATTTTGCGTGATATCTTGAGAGTACATATTAACTAGGATGGATTAAGAGGGATTTTTAGGTATTTCGGAAAACAATATTAATAGGATTTCACTGGGGTGACCGATTCCAAACTATTAAAATAGGGTGCAGCCACCCAAAAATGTGGCAAAAATAGGCAAAATTGGTCAAAAATAGGGCATGATTTTAAAAATTAATTAAAATCTTAAATAAAAAGCATTATTCCGCATATTTTTAGTAGTTTTACTAAATTGAGCAGGCGAAATTTTGAGATTATTTGAGCTAAATTTCTTCCATTATCAGCGCCGCAGGCAAAAATTTTGAGAAGCTTTGAAGGCGAAGTCCTCAGATTTCTTCCTTTTTCAGCGCCGCAGGCAAAATTTTTTGAACTTTAAGTTCCTGGAAGAAAAATTTTCTATTTTTGGCTTAAAAATACGACAAAATAGTAAAAAAATTGTCTAAAAATATCGAATATTTTTTCGTCATTTTCGTATAAAAATGGCATGTTACGAAACGAAAACGAAACGAAAATATATTTTTAATGAAATACGAAACGAAAGAAACGAAAAAAATTATTTTTTAACGAAACGCGAAACGAAACGAAATTCGTCAAAAAATCCACGAAAATCCACGAAACACGAAACGAAACGAAAAATTTTCGTGCACCTCTGCCAGCGACCGTTGACTCCCGCGAGACGCGTGCCGCAAAACCCCGCGCGAAGCGCGGGGTTTTGCACAAGCGTCTCGCCGACTCCCCATAGGTTTATGGGGTTTGTTTTTTGTGTCGTAACTTTATCCAAATTTATCCATGGTGATATTGTCTAAATGATGAAATTTATAGATAACACAGAAAAAACAAAAACAAACACAAATAACCCCAAAAAACCTAAAACAAGCCCAGACTCAACTGACAACTTTATTAATAAATGAAATTTTCCTAAATCGTCGGAAAAATTGAATTTTTCCGGAAAATTTGAAATTTTCCGGAAAAATTGAAATTTTCCTAAAATTGAAATTTACCGCCGACATATATATGTAAAAGTCAACTTATGGTGAGACTTTTGAGGAATAAAATTAGCTATGAAATTGTGGCACAAGGCACAAGGAGAACTTGTGGCACAAGAGAAATTTATATGACAGAGGGTTTCAAGGCTGTCTACAAAATTAACTACACCACATAAATTCAAAAAGGAACGTAGTTTCACGTAACCCGCATTCCGAAACTTTAGGAAATTCGTATAAATTATTAACTAAAAATATACATGCGTAAAGCTTTTTTTTTATTCTGGAAAAGTTGAGAAAGTGGGTAAGTGCCTTGACTAAAATTTATATTGTTCCGAATTATCCTGGCCTCGATTCTGAGTATCTCATTCATACCCTAAGAAGCCATAATTTTTCTCTTTTTATTTCAAAATCCGTAACATCCAGTTCCTAGGTCAATAAAAATTATAGTAAGTCGAGTACCAAGTAATAGGTAAAAAACCGAGCTCGAGTAATCCGAGTTTGAAAAAACCGAGTTCGAGTCGAGCTCAACTTTTTAGGTCGAGTTCGAGTACTCGGACTCGCTCGAACTCGACTTACTCTAATAAAAATTAAAATAAATTTTACTTCTCCCTCTGTAGGATTTCTTTTATATCTTTCAGTCAGAGTTCCTTTATCCTCAACAAGAATTCCACCAATGTAAATAATTTTATCAAGTTGAGGAAATTGATTAAAATTAACAAATTTGTGTTGATTCACAAAATGATACTTAATTTTTTGAAATAATTCAACCAAGTTTGGTATTTGTTCTTTTGTAATAATCTCTTCATACAGGACTAACTCGTTATAATTGCTATGAGATGATTCAGTTAAATCCTTAAAATGTTTTTTATTTATTGCTACATGTCCTTGACTATGTTTCCTCTTAGCCCTGTGAGTAAATCTGCCATCAGTCCATTCTCCTGGCACAGCATTTTCAAATCCTAATAAATTAATATCTTCATTATAGTATAAAATAGGGTTTGACCCCGACTCCGTACCCCGAACCCCGACCCCGTTCCCGAACGATTTTTTCACGATTCTCCCCGACACGAACCCCGCCCCGAAAAAAAGTGAAAACCCCGTACCCCGACCCGAAAAGTTTCGGGGTTATCGGGGTTTTATATACACAAAAATGCCATTTTTGGGAGAATTTTAAGAGAAAAATTTTAAAAATTTCCTCCCAATTTACTTTGCTTTTATTATTTTTGAAAGAAAAATGAAAGAAATATCAAAATTCTTTTTCCTACTCTGTTAAGAGATTTGTGGTTGAGTGGCTTAGTTTTTGGTTCTAGCCTATAGGTCCTTTAATTAGGTTTGGGTTCGGATCCAAATAGGCAAAAATCGTTTGTTTTAGCATTTTTCTTTACAAAAACAAGAGTTTTTTTAATTTTAAAATGTTAATCTTATTTTTAAATATTGTCAACCATAAAAACTGCAAGATTTTTTATTTAGTGTTAAAATTTCAAAAATTTTCGCTTGCAGCGCTAACCTAAAAACTTTATAATTTTCGTCTGCGGCTCTGAAAATGTAAAACTCAGCTATAATGCTATTGAGGGATTAAGGAGGTTATCGGCAAATGTGATATCAGGGGTTAATCCTTCGCCAGATATGTCAGTTAATCTCTTTAAATCTTTCTTAATCCGTCAAAATTTACTTACCTCCCCATATATTAGTGTTTCACCGGAACCAAAATTTTGACCAGAACCTGGTCCAATTTTGGTTCGTATCCAAGAACCGGACCGGAACCAAAAAGACCCGAACTTTCTGAAACCGGAACCGGAATTTCCGGTGAAACACTACCAGATATACATTTTAAATCAATAAAAACCATTAATCCCAACTTATTCTCATTAATTTCTGAATAAATTGACGAAAATAGATCGAAAATGGCTTATTTTTTAGAGCATTTTTTCTTTAAAAATTTTTTTCAGTAAACTCCCGTTCCCCGACCTGAACCCCGACCATATTTTGCTCCCCCGACCCGAACCCCGCCCCGAAACATTTCGAAAACCCCGTACCCCGACATACCCGCCCCCGAACGTTCGGGGTCAAACCCTAGTATAAAATTATTAAAATACAAAAAAAAATTTTCATTTTTTGTCGAATATGTATCATCTCATTGAAAGGGAGATGGAATAGAAGCATTGTAGGGTCATACGACACTTGCAGATATGACATTTGCAGACCCGACATTTGCAGACGACTTTTGCAGATCGACATTTGCAGATACCGACACTTGCAGATATGACACTTGCAGATCAGACATTTGCAGATCGACTTTTGCAGATATTAATTTTTGAAAAAAAATTTTAAAAAAATTTTAAAATCTTAAAAAATCAAAGGATATAGTATAGTATACCGGTGGAAAGGTTTTGATATAAGACCCATACCAATTCGTCTCGACGAGCTTTGTCGAACGGCACCACTCTTTTTTCCGGGGATTCTCTTTTTTCCGGAGGTTCAAAATGTTCAACGTAGACATATGGAGCTGGCGAGGCGCTTGTGCAAAACCTCGCGCTTCGCGCGAGGTTTTGCGGCACGCGCCTCGCGGGGAGTCAACGGTCGCTGGGCTCTGGGCTCGTAACATGATCCTATTCCTATCATCGATGAGATGGGCATTCCAGGATTCCTCCGCAGCAGCAAAATATATCAATGCGAGTCTGTATAGGTAAGGTAAAGAAGAGAGCGAAATGGTCTAATCTGCAAAAGTCGGATCTGCAAATGTCTGATCTGCAAGTGTCATATCTGCAAGTGTCGGGATCTGCAAATGTCGGGTCTGCAAAAGTCGGGTCTGCAAATGTCGGGTCTGCAAATGTCATATCTGCAAGTGTCGTGACACGCATTGTAGAAAGCAAAACTGATTAATAGATACAGTGATTTGGATTTTAATAGAATAGACAATTTAAGACGCATCACCAATTCTAGATCCGAAAACAACCCACAATTATTAGGGCTATAAAAAATATGCATGCAAAATCATAACGCAGTTACTTGGCCTATTTTGTTTTCTCGTACCCTGTGCATAATTTTGGTACAAGCTCTGGCTTCAACCGGCTCTACCTTCGGGAGTCATACCATATAACATATAAAAAATCTCTATAACCTGGAACTTCGAGTTCAGTAACATCAATTCCAAGAAATTGGAGATGTCCTGGGAAGAATACTGAATTCGTAACATCAAAAGTATTTCCAATCCCTAAAACTTCAAAAATAGCAAAAGCTCCAGACATTTCATTAAAATCAGCAATTCCGGCTGAATAATTTTGTCCAAGAAGCCATTTTAAAAATTCCTCATTTGTGATTATTTCTTTAATAAAAAAATTTTTTAATGAAAAATTTTGCAATAGACATGTACAGGGTGGGGCAAAAGTTCGGCGACAAATTTTATTTTGTCCTTTCTTAAAATTTACTTTATATTTTGCTTTTTGATTAGATTTCCCATATTCTATGATTCGCGCTCTACAAATTTTATCTTGAAAATTTTTTCCTATCACATAACGTAAAAATTTTACAGGATGTTAAAGAATCGTGCTTCTATTATTTCTTTGTATTTTAAAAATGTTCGAAAATGTGACATCGCTAGACGGCTAGATATCTTTCGTATGTTAGTTTCCAAAGCAATAAAACAATATCATAAGCTTGGAAATACTCAGGACCGCCTTAGTAGTGGCCGGCCTTTAACCAAAGTTACGCCTGAAAACATGAACGTGGTCAAATACCGAATTCGCCGTTTTTCTGAACAATCGATGTGAAAAACGGCCTCAGATCTCGGAATGAGCTCGAAGAGCCTCCTAAAAATTGTCAGAGTGAAGCTTAGACTTCGGAGCTAAAAGATCAGCCGCGTATATTTCCTTATCAATTGAATGAAGCATCAGAAGCTTCAGAAATGTCGAAAGGATTAAACGCCTGGTCGCAGCTGGTCGACATAACAGAGTGATGCATGTAAAAATTAATGCTAGTCTAAAAAAATGACATTCTGAGGGGGGTTGTGCATCTATGGGCGTTATAGCATTTTGGTGAAAACCAATTCTCGCTTCAGCAGGATTGGGTACCTGTGCATGGAGTCAAAACGACAATCCAGCTCTGTGGGGAGTTGTTTCCTGGCTTTTGGGGGAAAGATATCTGGCCTTCAAACTCAACGAATTTAAATGCCTGGATTAACCTATTTGGGCAATTCTGTAGCAAAAAGTATGCCGAATCCGATACGCAACATAGGAGGAACTGAAAATTGTTTTGAGCGGGACTGGAACTAAATATCCTATGAACAATGCGCGACCATTGTGAGTCACAACCGAAAGCGTTTGGATGCGTGTATTTCAGTTAGGGATGGTCAATTTGAGAAATTACTTTAATAAAATGATTATTATATCCTATTGATTATATTTTATCATTTTTTCATGTTAAATAAATTTTTTTTACAATAGATTTTATTAAAAACATTTGTCGCCGAACTTTTGCCCCACCCTGTATAGAGTCAGGAAAGCTGAAATGATTTAATAACTAGAAAGCGCCAAGGTCTCTATGCATAAGTTTAATGATTTAATTTACTTTATTGTTTAGTGTAAGTTTATTATTCAAAAATATTAAAAGTAGTATATTGTAGAGTCCGCAAGGTCCAGTAATCCCGAGTACTATTAATTGTCTCTAAGCTTTCAAAATTCTCAAAAATTGATGCTAAAAAATGAAGAAAACTGGCTTCTAGGCCTTCCAAAGTTCTTAAAATTCTTGCCTGCTGCGCTGTATAAGGTTAATAATGGCTATTTCCCATCATAGTGGTCACTGGAAACTTTACGAGTTTAATGAAATTCCTATTCGGCATCCTAATATTCCAAACTTCGGAGAATATTCCAAACTTCCAGGGATTTCCCTGAATTTGCAGACCCTTTCCAAGACAACGAGGTTCGAGTCAAAATTTCGGTAAAACCCTAATATTTATTTTAATGTAACCAAAAATAAAACTTTTAGGCAGAAAATTCTATAAAAATTGCTTAAATATGTATCATATTACCATAATAAATTCCAACAAGAAAACATTTCTGCGTATCTTTATAATCTAGATATGCATATTCTAGTCCACGATTTCTAATATAACTTTGATTTAATCTGTTTTTGTTTATTGGTACTTTAATTATTTTAAAACTACTATCTGATGGCAAATCTTCTCCCTTTTCCTTACTATAGACAAGCATATGCTGAAAAAAATTATATAAGATGGGTAGAACGAAGGAAATATCAGGTCTATTTTGCGAAAATGGTCCCAAAATTTATTTTGGGAATTTCCCAAATTTCCCCGAATTCCTCAGCTATCAATTATAGCTGTCAATTACGCTTGGTCTTGACAAACATGTGTGAAACTCAAAAAATTTTTTACGACGTAACGAACAAAAAATGTTTTAAAAAATGTTTCGTTAATGAACCAGTAAAACATCAACGAAACTACCAAACAGCATAATAAAACGTTTCGCGCATTCTGGTCGTTAACCCATGAATACCACAAAATATTACCACAATATATTTTTCGGACAGAGCGTTGGCCAACAATACCTAAAATTATTTAAATAAAAGTTATTTATTAGTCTTTCACGTGAAATTTTAAAATGAAATAGTTTCTAAAATAACAAGTCAGTATCAATAGAACAGTAATACAGAAGTCAAAATCCTTAAAAAAGGCATATTTGGCGCGATCGACATAAAAAAGTCATGATGCCATTATTTCAAATTGGACCTAAAATTTCCTTCAACTAAATCCTTTCTTTGAATCACAAAGGCGAATCGAAAAATATATTTTGGGAATTGACCTATCCCTTTGTAAGATCTAAATATGTATAAACTATACATGAAATTGAACGTTGGAGTAGAAATAGTTGTCGCAAATGTACAAAATTTTCTTTTTATCTTCTCCATGAATGACCTCAGAACTTTCACCTAAATAACCTCCACCAAAATCTACTCCAAAACCTGACACATTAGATGTTCCCTCATGGCTTGGTTCTCCATAGCCTTGTCCCCAATGACTTTGTTCTCCATGAACATGACCATAATATCCTCCGCTTTCTTGAACTATTTCTTGACCAGTTCCTCTATCATGGCTTTGCCTTCCAGTTCCCTCTGATTCATAACCCTCACTTCTACTTTCATAACTCCTAGTACCTCCATGACCGCTGCCTTCAGATTGTCTTTCATATCCTCCACGTTCTCCGTGAAATATTTCACCGAATCCTACTTGAGTGCCTTCTCCATGACTTCGCCTTTCAATTGTTTCTGAATCATAACCCTCACTTCTACTTCCAGAACTTCTAGTTCTTCCATGTCCGCTGCCTTCAGAATGTCCTCCATATCCTTCACGTCCTTCTTGAAATATTTCACCGAATCCTCCTTGACTGCCTTCTCCATGACTTCGCCTTTCAGTTCTCTCTGATACATAACCCTCACTCATATTTCCAGAACGTCTAACACTTCCACTTCCAGAGCTCAAAGTTCCTCCATGACCTCCTCTCGTACAACAATTACCTCTTTTATAGCGACGTTTGTACAAACTTTTTCCCACATTTTTAGGACATTTACAATTTCTCTCAATTGAAATGTTGACAAAAATTAATAAAAATAAAATCCAAAAAATTAATTTTAAATACATTTTTGTCTAAAAATTTTATTTTAAATTGAATTAAAATTAATTTTTAAATAATAAAACACGGTCATTGGCGAATTGTTAATGTCATCAATGCAAATGTAAAGCAAGGAAAGTTTTAAAAAACATAACTCATATTTCTGGGCTCAAAAAATAAAACTCTTAGAAAAGCCAAAAAAGAAGAAGAAGCCAAGAATCAGGTTCTAGCCCACCTCAACGGTCGCTGGGTTCTGTGTCAGTAACATAAACCTATTTCTATTTCCCTTGCTCCGGACGTACCTGGGGCCACTGTAGCAGCAAAAACCTCCACGGAACCATAGGTAAGGAGCTAAAACAAACGAGCATAACCTTGCCACATCAGGACAGATTTTGTTGATTTTGGTGTCATTCGACTCAGCTCGAATTAGCTCGTCGAATCGAATGACATATGTCACGTCCCGAACTTTTGTTACCGGTGCATTACAGGTGCATTTTATTACCGGTGCATTTTATTGTAAGCACTTTTGTTACCGGTGCTTACAATACTAGATACTACTAAATATTAGAGTTCGACATTTTCAATTTGCCTGGCCCGGTATCCGGGTTTTTTCTTCCAATCCGACCCGGGCCGGGTCCAATCCGACCCGGGCCGGACTAAAACCCCGAATTTTATCAAATACCCGGTTTCCGGGCCCGGCCCGGAAAACCCGGTTCCGGGCCCGGCCCGAAGTTGAACTCTACTAAATATTCAAGTCATATCCTTAAGAAGAAGTTTATCCTTTCTATCCTACAAAGATATGATTCTTCAACTTTTAATATAAAATATTTGATATCAATTTCTACTCACTTTAAGAAAAAAGGGAAATTAAATTCTAAGGAAAATGAAATTCAATGTTAGAGATATAGATCAAAATTTATCTTTAACTGATTTTATTTTAAATTATATGGCTAATATTTAATAAAAATTATTTTTTAAAATTATTAAAAAATTTTATAATTTTTTAAATGAATTTTTGGCCTTTTAACTGCCATCTATTTCACAAATAAAAATGGGTCGGGAAAAGGGGTGGGAGCCAAATGTATTTTTGCCATCTTTACCTTTAGCTACTTTTTTATACGATTTTTTACAATTGTATAAAAAAGTAGCTAAAGGTAAAGATGGCAAAGATATAAAAATAATTTCTGTTTATTTGGCAAATACATATTTACTCATATAATACTGCCGACAGTGCTTGAGTTGGATGTAGTTGTTTAGGAGTAGGTAGAGGTCTAGAAATGAACATTCTACTACTTTTCCGGAGTAAATATGCGATTATAAAAAATATTTTTATCTACAGACTAGAGTTGGCCGGTATCGGGATTTCGAGAAAAACCCGGGATTGGGATTTAGGAATGGTGATCCCGATCCCGGATCCCGACTCGGGATCTGGATTGGCCGAGATCGGGATCGGGATTTGGAATGGAGATCCCGATCTCGATCCCGATCCCGAATCGGGACCGGGATTGAAAAATCGGGATCGGGATTTACTAAAAAAATTTTTTTAACTTATAAATTCTTATTTTCTTCACAAACGACTCAATATAATTCTAAAATTTCCACTGCGGTGCTGAAATATTGAGTTAAAGTCTCATAGACGCATGATTTACTTTCCGGTTCAGGGTATTAAGGGGGGATAAGGTAATGGGGGGGGGGATAAATGGGATTGGGCTTTTGATTTTTAAAAAATTTGCACCTTTTGAAAAGTTTGGCACCTTGGCCTTCCAAATTTTGAAAAATTTTGAAAAATTTTGAAGGCCAAGGTGCCAGATTTCCTCCCTTTTAAGCGCCGCAGGCAATAATTTTTAATTTTGGAAGGCCAAGGGCATTTAAGTCTAAACGTTCAAGTCTATACATTTAAGTGCGTTACGTTCAAATGTGGATGATTAAGAACTGAGATTGAGGGATTAAGTGATATATTCATGTCCCTCGTAAACCCTCGATTCTCTTCAAATCTAACTTAATTACTGCAAATCCACGATATCCTTCTATACTCCAAATCCACCTATACTCCCCTCAACCCCTCTTGATCGTTCGATATCACACCAAATCACTCAGTATTTTGTCAAAGTTTTAAAGACAGCTTTGCTTAAATTTGCTCCTTTTCTGCGCCGCAGGCGAAAATTTTGAGAATTTTGGATGTCAGGATGCCAAATTTCTTCCATTTTCTGCGCCGCAGGCGAAAATTTTTCTTAATTTCATGCCTCCTCTCTTCTGTTAACTTTATTTCCACAAACTTCTAGTCAATTTATAAAATCGGGATTTGCATCGGGATCTGATGCACATCCCGATCCCGATCCCGGATCCCGGCTCGGGATTAAAAATGGCCGGGATCGGGATCGGGATATATATTTCGGGACCGGGATCAGAAAAATCGGGATCGGGATTTGAAAAACCCGGGATAATCCCGCCCGATCCCGACCGGGATCCCGATCCCGGCCAACTCTACTACAGACATATTTCTCCCGTCTCTCAAATAAAAGTTTGAAAGATCATAGAGAGATTTTTGTTAAAACTCCAAATATCTCAGCCAACATATATTTGCTTATTTCTTTGAGACGTCCGAGACTATAGGTCTTGAGTCTTGATTCCAAGACCTTTCTTGGGTTTTTTTCGGTTTTGGTCTAAAGGTGAATGTTAGTTTAATATTTCACAATCCTATTTCCGCCTTGCATTAGTTAAAAATTTCTTAATTAAATTTTTTAGTCTAGCCTAAAATTTTGACCTTAAAATCTTTTTAACCCCCCCCCCCATTTTCTAGAATTTATATTTTTTATATTTTTTCTCATACATAATCCATCTAAAATACAAACTTTTATATTTTATTAGGGTATTCAATCACTAATTTTTATTGTCTAAAAAACCTCTTTTTTTGATCAATTAATTTCCTTTTAATTTAAATCAGCGGTTTCGCGCATTCTCTCTCCTTTTTCCTCCCATTGTGACTAAACACACACAAACCTTTCTTTTATTTTTAAACAAAGAGAGGCAACAAAAACAGCCCTTTTTAATAAAAAAGGAAGAAATAGGGCCAAGTTGATTTAAACAAATTAATTTTATAAAATTTTAAAACTTGATTTAATTAATTTTGTTAAAAAATTGAGAAAGATTTGCCTAGTTTAAATTTTAAAAGAAAATTAGAAATCTCTCAAATTTAATACTAAATTAATTTTAAAAATTTTTTTAAACTAATTTATTATACTCTTTAAAATGCTCTAAAAATAAATTTATTTTATAGTTCTTTTAATTTTTTCTAGAAACTTTCGTTAATATAAATCCCATTAATTTTCACTTTTTTAATTAAAGTTTAAATAATTTATTTTTATAAAGAAATTCTATATAGTCTTTAAATTAAATAGGAAGGAAGGATTTTGAATTAAATTTTTTTTCATTCATAATTGCCTGATCTGTAAATTCTCTAAAAATTGTTCAGTACTTTTCGTTTATCTAATCTCATGATTCCGAATCTTGTTCTAATCGAATCTCGTTTTAGTTTATGCCTTTAGATCTAAAAATTATCAAGTAGAGTTATCGCTTACCTCCTTATTTATTATGTTTTTAAGGGGGATTTATTGGATTTTTAAATTTTTGAATTGTTGAAAAATTGAGTAGAATCTATGTGAGCTTTTTTAGTTAGGTCCACTTATTAGAAGTTGCGAGTGAGAATGGTTGACAAGTCACTTTTAGTTGGATATCGTCCATTTTTCTAGGCACACTATTTATACATTATTCCCTAAATAAATTTTGGAGTGTTTTGAAAATCGTTCACAAATTATTTTCATTTTTTCAATTTTTCTTATGAATTTTTCCAAGGAATTTTTAATAAAAAAAATTCTAATATAGGCAATAAATCAAAAAATAAATTTTTTTCCTATTAAAATGTCATTTCTTCTGTTAATTGTTCAAAGCATTTTATTGCTAAAAATAGCAGAAGGTTTGTTGTTGGAAAATAAATTAAAAATAAATCATTTTTAAGGTGCACAAAAGTGTTATTTTGGTGATTTTGTGGACGGAAAAGTTAAGGAATGTAAAGAAAGTAGTTGGAAATGTGCTACTTTGATTTGCCCGGGAACGGGTAATTTTTAAACTTCGCCAATAATACTCCAAATCAGGGTAGCACCCCGAGCCTTCGGGGGCGGGATCGACGGGAATCGGGGTTTGCCGGGGTAGAGCCTTCCCGAGGGTAGAGCCTTCGTGGTTTGGTCGGGGTTTATGCTTAAAATTCATAGGGGGTCAGGATTTCGGGGGACGGGGTGCTATCCTACTCTAAATAATATAGACCATAAGAAGGGTGTATATTACTAGAAAAATTTGCATAACTAAGAAAATCTATGTATTGGAAACATAGTCTGGGAATTTTTTGAGAGACTGGAATGGACAACTGGATGATTCCATAGTGATCGTTTGATCTCATTTCAACTGGCGTAGGCTTACCCTCAAAATTTTAGTCCAAAAAATCCTTTCGGTCCTTCAATTGATATACCTTCCTTTAAAACAACTTTGAAATATTCCAAAATTAATTTTTAAAGTATTTCGCGGCTGTTTATCACCAAACGGAGTTTGCGGCGACCTCATTAATTTATTCACAAGTTGTAAAGAATCATCTCCTCAATGTTTTCTTTGTGAAGGTGATCTTTGCAATGACAACTCCACAAACACTTCGAATAAAAAATTTGAAGCAACAAGTGTACTAAGCGGGGCTAATAATACGAACATAACAGAAGAAAGCAGCACCCCTTTTATTGCAAAAGATGTTCCAATAGAAGGCACAAACAGTACAGCAACAAATTCTAGCAGTCCAATAGAAAGTATTACGAATCAAAATGCGACAGCAGAAATGTTGAAATCAAATGCTGGAAATAATACTGTGAATGACAGTAGCAAGAACAGCAATAGCCAATACTATATTCAATCTTTTTTGATTGCTTTATTTTTTGTTGTAGCCACCATTATTTAAATTTACCTTATAATTAAGTTGGCTTCAAGGAAA